GGATGCAATTATCCAATCACTTCCTTATCCACCTAACAGTTCACTCACCAAATCCATCTCTCATCAATTTAGACAGAAGGATGTTGGGGAGGACTGTGCCCAAGGCCTTACAGAAGTCCTGATAGATGGCATCTGTAGCCCTTCCCCTGCCCACTCATGGAGTCACTCCATCACAGAAAGCCACCAGGTTGGTCAGGCAGGGCTTCCTCTTGGTGAAACCATGCTGGCTGTCCCAAATCACCTCCCTGTCCTCCATGTGCCTTAGTCTGTTCCATGACCTTCTCAGGCACAGAGCTGAGGCTGACAAGACAGTAGTTCCCAGGGTCCTCCTTTCTACCCTTTTTTCCCAGCCACCTGGGATTTCACCTGACTGACATGACTTTTTGAGTATCATGGAGGGTGGCAAACAATCTAACAGCATTATAACCTCTTTCCTGCTATATATCCAACATCCTTGAGAGACTGAACTCCAAAATGCATTTTACAAAAGCCTCAGCTATCAAAACACTACCACAACTTAATCTTCTGAGTAGGGAGGGATTCCACATCCACAAGGTCATAGCTATTTCCTCATCCTTAAACAATGAACAACATATCCCCTTCTCATTCATGGTAACAGTCATAGGTTCCCATGTAGATCTCCTAAAATGTAATTGTAGATCATTATTTGTGCCTAAAATCAAACACATGTCTTAACAACTGCAGTGACAAACTGACCAACTACACTGACTACTTGAAACAAGTCACACATGCAACATGAGGAGCAGACAGCAATCAAGGCAGCCAGATCTCCATTTCAATAAACACTCTATTATGCATTCATGTTTCAGAATACGAAAGAAGAATACAGGTATAGCCAAGTCAAATAATGCCACTGCCAACTTAGGGAGGCAGTCTATTCCAACAGTCTATATTTAAGAGCTAACATTAAGTGAAGACTGAATTAATTGCATTAATTATGGTAAGGTTCTCAGGCAACTAGTAAGAAAGCAGTGCTTACAAAGGGACAAAATCCCTTACACTGCAGGCTGAAGTATCAGGGATATTTTTTTTTGCCACTGCTAATGCCAACATCCCTTTATTTTGTCACATCTCAAGGGCAACCTAGCACCTACTATTATGCATACCCTGAAACCTATAGTTTCTAATCAGCATATTTCATCTCCAAGAAAATTTTCATTTCCAAAGATGCTTATTCTAAAACCAAAAGCTTAAATCCACACAGCAACCCTAAGCATCTAGCACAAGTCAGCCAACATTAACAATGTAAGAACCCTTCTGGGAATAGGATGCTTGAAAGGGCTTGAAATAGCAAAGAAAATAAGGTTAATTGATGATGTATCTCCTATTCTTCATGCAGAAGGACTAGTAAATACTACCTGAGGCTACACTGCAAGAGCTTAACAAAAACATTCACATAGCTTTTAGATTTTTAATCATTGCTAAAATAGTGATGGAAACAAACAAGTGTGATTTGTTGACAGATCCACAGGACTTTGTATTGAGTTCTCTCTTAAAAAATATATATTTACAAGTATTTCAATGTTCTTCAATCAACTACTAAAACAATAGATAAACACCCTACAAAAGAATAGGGGTGGACTAAATGGGGATAATGTCCAAAATACTTCTATAAAAATTACATAGTATGATGAAAAAAAGAATTTTCACTCAAAGCCAATGTTTAGGAACTTTCTTCTACTTCAAATCAAGATGAGTGAGTCTGTATAGATTTGCTTTTAGACAGATAGATATAAATATATACATATAGATAGATATAACTGCTTGTTTTAGGTATTAGAATTATCCTCTCCTTGATTTTAGCATTTTGGCACAGTAAAATGATCGTGAACTTCAAAGCACCATACTGAATTACTCAAACCATCAAATAAAACCACAGCAATTAGACATTTGAGAGAAATAAATCAAATCCTCTCTTTTGCATGGAACATCTATTGCTGGGAGTTTCATGCATTAAAAAAATGAAGTACCACAAAATCATGCTCAGGGTTATCTTTCAGCTGTTCCACACATCACATGTATAGATGTGAACTCATGCAACAACATACTGCATCTGCCAATTTTCTTCTCTCAACATAACTGAGCTGTTCACACAAGCAAAAAAGCAACTTTTCAGCAATCATGCCTTTGTAATCACTAGTTAGGTATTTAAAATTTCTGTAGCAAACAAGATATAAAATTATCCAAGACCTGTAACAGGATTCTTTTGAACACAAGTATTTTTAACACTAGATTTCTAAGTATGGAGTCACTGGAGCAATTAGTTTTTACTACCATCAGTATGGGTGCCACTGCCAGTGCTGACAACCGACAGCTGGTAAGTTACCAGGTGGTAACAGGGCAGGGGGGAGGGAATGAGTATTTAAACTTGGCACATTATTAAAGACCTAACTAGAAAGTGAAGGTGGGAAAGGCTTACAAAGTTAGTATGTTTCAATAGCAGAAACTCTAGCAGTTAGTGCTATAGTATGACAAACTGAAGTAGGTGCTTAGACACAGAAGCACATCCTGGAAAACCACCACAGAGCATACAAGTAAGTAAGGTTATAATAACTAATTCACTACTCAGCGATGTGTGCCTCTGCATATTTCCTTTATACATCACACAATGCATTTGTGATGATTTTCCTCTGTGTTAGTATTCTGTACAGCTCTTCATCTTTAAGGTGCTTCATACATTAATGTAGCAGCATTACTAATTAATAATGTTGTGTATTCAACACTGATTAATATACATATTTGGCAAGATGAGTATTCAGGGCCAAATAAAAGTCACCTTGTTGCACATAATTAAGACCTGACATGGTCAAAAACAAACATGTGACAAAACTGCTAGAAATGTGTTTTGCCTTTGGAATCAAAGCACATTTCATTCTGGTATTTTTGAGGTATTCTGGGAAGCAGATATTAACTGAAAGCACTAAACAGTCACCAGTTGTGACAAACTATTATTTTTAACAACCCTCTTCATCAAACTCAGCATGCACATAGCAGCAGCTGATACAAAAACAAACTTCTGCAGGAAGAGTCCAAATTTATTGGAAGCTCAATTTAAATATGAACCCAGACCTTTAGGGCATCTATAAACTAAAAAACAGATTTATGAAGTAGTTTTATATTTGATCAAAAGTCAATATCCTATAACTAAGAATGAAAAACAAAAGTTCAACCAACATAAGACTAGAGTGGTGCTGTGATAAACTGTTACATTCCAATGATTTAATAAACCTTGACAACAGAAAAATCTCCTAGAGATGGGGAAAGGAAGGATAATCAGAGTAAAGCTATCACAGCAAGGGAAAAATCTCACATTGAGAAAGTGATACTTTTGTTTTGCATAAAATTTTTAAACTTTAAATTATATTAATATGAAATTATAGGCTCTGTAAAACATGAATGCTAGAAGTTTGGCAAGAAAAATCAGTAATTAATTCCTATAAGTAGAATGCATTTTTGCTTTAGAAAAGCCCGAAGAAAATGGTGAAGAAAAAATTCAAAAATCAGTAAGAATGAGAAAAAATACCGCAATTCTATTTTACATATAATTAACTGCATTTGCACGAGACGGATTGGAATATATAACAAATCTGTTAGATCTGTTTTCATACAGAAAAGAGCAAAAGGTTTGAAAAGAATAAGCAGATTATTTTTCTCCCCTCTTTGTAAACTGCAACATGACTTCTGGTTAAGACAATTCCTTCTAAGACTAAAGAAGGGCATGACAAAAATTGAACCAGAATACAAGAAGTAAATGTATTTATTTCCTTTCTAGGAAAACAGGGTAGCAAATTTGTATGTAGTGACTGGCCTTGTTCATGACATTAACAAGCTGTTGACATAGAACTTCAACGTGCAATGGATCTGCCCTTAGTCTAAAAGGATTACAAACACAGCTACAAGGGAAAAGAACATTGTGTTTCCCCATCCTATTAATACTACATCCAACAACAAAAAAGAGTACCAAGTGAAACACAGAATGCTTATAAGAGAATTATGCAATAAACTCACAGGACAAAACAACAAATTGAAGGTTCACAGGGGGGAAAAAATACAGTAACTTACATCTATATAAAATCTGAGCAGTGAACCTCAGTACATTTAAAAAAACTATGGTGCATCATCTCTGTGAAACCCTATATTCCACTCGTTTGCACTCAAGACTGATGATTCCCCCAGTACTCCAGAATTTTGTGACTTCCATTTAGACATTCAAGGGCCTTAACACTGCCTACAACTCAGTAAGAGGAAAAAAAAATAATCAAAACAAAATAAACCCAAATCAACCAGCATAGGATGGAGAAACATGGGGAAATTATACTGTTTTTCTATACCGTTGAACCCCTTCACATCACATGTTTTTAAAAAACATGGCAGACATGTAATCTTTCTTCAACAGTAGTAATAAATAACAAAAGCATTCAAAGTGAGAAAACAATGCTACTATACTTTATTCTGTATGTTTCTATGGCACTACTATCACTGCTTTGTCAACTTTGAAATATTGCAGAGTAAGCAACCTACAGCAGAAAAGCAGCTCGAAGAACTAGCAAGAACTATACCTGAGTGAGTTTCAAAGAAGAGAGTCTACCTTCTGGATTTCAGCAATGAAACAGTAAAGAAGTGAACATGCATCAGGTATGACAAAAAACTAATGGTTAATTAACAAAAAGAAGAAGTGAAAGACACATGAACAAAACTAAGTTAAAGCAGCATGAACTATAATAATTAGGTAGACACATAAAACAGCCACTTGCACTTACTAACAAAACACAAAATCACAGTAGGTTACAACAGACACATGCCAAAATAATATGAAAAGAGCAGGTAACATCATCCTATTGCACAATTATGACAACTAACTAGAAACTACATGCTAAGCATGCTAAAAAGTACATTCTAGAAGTTTAGAGAAACAGAAGATTTTTTGAGTCACAGCCTACCATGCTGACACATTGGCCAGAGAAGGTGAATTTGCTTACCTCCTGTAAAAGATCTGCCTGCTCAATGGCTTTAAGAACATTTTTCTTGGAAGTTTCCTGAACTTCCCCTCCTAAAAGGAACTCATCCAGAATGAAATAGGCTTTTTCAAAATTGAAGATGATATCAAGTTCACATACCTAAAAAGAACATCAAGTATTATTGCAAAGTGGGAAGATACTCTCAACTGAGGTATATCTTCTCACAAAACTTAACTCTTTCACAGCATCAAATCAAGATGTTAGCCTATGGCTATAACCCTGTAAGCAGTGGGGCAACATTAAATATCAGTCCTTGGGGGGAAAAAAACCAAAAAAACCAACCCCCTCCCTTTTTTCTTTTGCTTGAGTTAAAAACAGTTATGACAACCTCTTTGAAAAATGAGGTTCAATTTACAGCCATCTGCATGATGTGGCTCTTCATGAGGCAAGAGAATATCCCTATACAAGTTCTCTTCTTGCCTGCAGAATATAAAGGCAGATCATCCATTCTTACAGAAAAATGTGATAATGCAAAAATCTCAAATTTGTTATTCATCATGTACATTCTCTAGTTGGAAGGACCAGGAAGACAGAAAAATGAGCAGTAGTTTTTCTAGGAGTGCTAATGTACATTACAATGGTTGGTTGTGTTTGCTGTCTGGGTAAGCAAATGTCTGTCCTTTCCTTACTGTTCCTGCTACTTCACAACCAACTGTCTCCTTTGGGAGCAGATGTAAGAAGTGCTCACACACTAGAGCACTGCCAGGGAAAAGGAAAGCTGAGAGCCTGAACCGAAAGCTAAGATTTTACCTGACCTCAAGGGAGACAACTATGAAATGGAGGCAATTAACACCAGATTAATAACAGTTCTTCTCCCAAATCAATAATTTAATTTTGTATTTTAACAGTTATAGAGGCAATCATCAGTTTAGTTCGGCCAAGCAAGCCATACAAGACGTGTCAGATGCACCTTTTCAACTGCTAGCTGATTAAGTTTTTCTAAGTGCTGTAGGCATAAAGCAAAATGACAAAATATAAAGAAACTAACTCACACTGCCAAAATACTTGTCAAGAAGTTCTACATAGCGATGAATTATTTCCAGAGTTATTAGTTCATTGTCCTGATCTTCAATAGCACAGCAGAAATAGAGGCTTGCATATCTGTAATAACAAAATAATCTTAGTGTTAGCATATGAACATGAGCAAAATGAATGCACTTGAGGTGTATTACATCCTCAGTTGCCCTTCACACTCAAGTTTAGCATATTACTATCAATGGCCCAACAAGTCCCACCAAAGAATGGCTGAAAGACCAGAAGATGTGCATGTACAAAAGGGCTTTGTCTCCTTTGTCAAGCATGACTTGAGTCACTACCATGCTTTAGCTGACAGAATTAAATGAGCCAAAGAGGTGGCTGGAAAAGGAAATGCATTTGATTTTCTTGACCTCCTGGTGGAGTTACTATCTGTAAGGTCCAAACACCAAGTTTCTAGCAATTTACTTCCACCTTGGAAGACAGGGAATTCTTTACTTCGGATACGATCAAGTTTCACTTTAACAAAAAGACCATCCAATTCTACTGTGCTCTGCCATACATTTGTTCAAGTCATGTTTAAAAAAGCTGATACAAAACCAAAACAGGAATGAAAGCTCAAAAACCCACTTAGTCTTTTCTCAAGTGCCAAAACCATATGCTGTTCAGTCACTCATGGCACAAACCAGATTTCAAGTACCACCTGTTGTAACTACTAATTTACATGAACCAGAAACAACTTTTGTTTGCCTCTTTAGAGACCACAACTGGCCATATTAAGCACTCAGAGTAGCCAGCCCTATTGAAAAAGAAGCCAAGTTTAAGATGTGTATGTTTCCTATACAGAGAAATCCATGCAGCTTTTGAATATTACACATTTTATCAGCTGGGACTTTGTAAACCCCCAAAAGAAACTGTCAGGGTTTTTGCAGGACTTCTAGCCAAAAATGTGGTATTTTGAAGTATGTTGAAATTTGTCTCCCAGACACTCACCCAGTATCATTTATGACCTCAACGTGTCCCACTCTCCCCCCACTCTGCTCTGAGTCAAATTGCTATGGATTCATCATGAACAGGATAACTTTTATACAAAAGCTCTAAACTATTATAAAATATAAAATATTACTGCCTACGATTTTTTTCCCATCTTATCACAAAACATAATGGGGGAAGACACCTTCACTGAAGGATTTAACACTTTCATTCCCTCACTCTTTCATCTCTTCACCACAGGGATTTATCAGAAGTCCTATCTGAGCACAGTTCCTTTGATTTTACATTGTTGTGTTTGTGCCTCACTAATTTTTCAAGGACATTCACAGTCACTGTAGGAGCCTGCAAGATTCAATCTGTATAAGGAATCTAAACTATTTTAAAGAGTATTGGAAAGCAATATTAAAAACAAAAAAACCCTAGTGAGGAATTTTTAAGTCAAACTCCATGTTATCTTATTTCCTTGTAGAAAAAAAGGGCTCTGACACATTGTTGACATTTACACTAATCACCAGCACTCAGACCAAACCCATCTAAACAAAGCTTTCATCACATCCAGATGAGCAGCACTGATTATGATGAAGTGCAGTTAAACTGTTTCCTTACAGTGCTTAAACACAAGCTGAACCACCTACCAGCAGACCTTATCAAATCCTTATAAAATCAAAGTCCTTTTGTGCTTCCCTATTTCTTACAAGGATCTTTGGATGCATGGAACGTCCTTTTGTGCTTCCCTATTCCTTACAAGGATCTTTGGATGCATGGAACTATTTCATGTGAAAACAAAAAGGAGGGGAGGGGAGGAGAGAGGGAGACTAATGTAAAATGCTTTCCCGAAAAGTGGTCTGCTCTCAGTGTCCTCATTTAAAAGAGAACGTAACATACTTTCCAAGACTGTACTTGGCAGCTAAGCGAGTAGACTACACATTCAAACTCTGCCAACTGCAGTTCTGGAGAAATAAGACTGAGAAACAAAAACTCCTCAGTGGGAATCAACACAAAATGGAGGCCTGGGTATCTATTATTATATGCAGAGAGTATTTTTCCATGTATTTTTTAAGTAGCAACCATAACTAATGGATCACTACTCAACAAAAGAAAACAAATGCAGATTTAATAAGCCTACATGGCAAACAGCAGAAGGGTATAAACAAAGTGAGCCATTACTGCAAAGGGCATGAGCATACTACAAATGGCTTCAGACCAAATTCTCAAAAGCAGTAGTTTGTGATTTTTTTCCCCCAGAGGCCAACTCTTCATATAAAAGTGTCCACTTAAGAGTGTACAGCAGACACCAGAGGTTTCGCCAAGTGTAGAAGCTAACATGGAGAGTGTCCACACAAAGAGGAGTAGATTACTGTACTCAGACTGAAAAAGATTTCTGCTCTGCAGAAGCATTTTTTCTTCCTAATGAGCCTGACAGAAACCTGTCTTTCACATGCATCCAATGAAAAGGCAAATCCTGAGAGTAAAGTATGCTACATCACACAAAAGCAAATACAGTGCAGTCTGTAAGAAATGTTCTGCCTTTTTTATTCCTACTGCACTTGTGGTGGGTTTTATTCTCACTAGACATTATTGACAGAATCTTTAGACTCAACTCAGTTGCTCACCCTCATTAGGAAAATATGACAAATATCCTCTACTTGTCAGAAAGGGAACCAAAACCAGAGACCAGAAACAGTTTATGGAATAAAAGAACAAAAAGCAAACACAGAAGGTATAAATACTTAGACAAATTCCTGCCTTCAGATAGAAGACCCTAGGACTTTTTTCATGATGGGAAACAAACCCATGCATCTCCCCATCAATAGCTATAATAGTTCAGTGGTGGAAAACCTCACAACTGGCAGGCAATGCTTCAGCAGAGTTCTCTACCACTCTGCTCACAACCAGGTTCAGTAACTCTGCTGGCAGATCAGGTCACTGTGGGCATCTATTTTATGACTTGCAAATCCCAGCAGCTCAGTGATGTTCTCCTACTAGATGAGAGAAAATCTGCTTGAAGTCATCCCTGGAAGTTTGTCATCAGGTAAACCTGCAAACAAGCTGTAAGTCTGTCAGCATCTAAATCACTCTGTATGTAGATCCCAATTGCAGAAATATGAAGCTTACAGAGATTGGCATGAACAGAACTGAACTGTAAATGACAACCAAGAGGCAGTCAGGTGTTTAAGGGAGCCCAAAAACCTGTGGTTTGGTGACATTGACCCAATGAAAACTGAAACCACTAAACAGTTGTGCTTGGCAAAAGATTGTCTCCTCAAAAAAGCTACGTATTTCTTTAATAAAACAAGAAGTTTTGAAACTCTAGGACAGAGTCTAACCAAGTTAAGCATTTCTTCTACAGTTTCTCATTTCAGCATGGCTATACACCCCAGTAGTTTTAGAAATGAATGAATTTGGTACTGCTACTCCTCTAAGAAAAAGCTGTTGCTTGTTGATGCTGAGGACCTTCTAATACCACAGGAATGAGAATCCTATATAAAGGCAACCTGATCTAATTAAAATTATCAAACCCAAGTATCCAATTCACTATAATCATTGCATTCAGCTTTACAAAGGTACCTAACCAACACCATAGGAACACTTTTGCCATCCAACTGCCAGCTAAGTTGTATATAAACAAGGACCACATCAACTGCTGGGCACATACCACTAGCCACATGGCTGTGCCTTTGGTTCACAACACTGAGTGAAGAGGTACTACTTGCAGAATGGGCCCTTTCATTGTTTCTTTCAGTAGAGGGAGGGTAGAAAATTTTAAAGCTAATTTTGCTGCAAGTCTTAATCATAACTGTAGGTTATGTTACGTGAAAGCTAAAGATGACTGCACTACTATGATGGTTTTATAACTCAGATTGCAAGTACAGTTCTGAACTGACACAAAAAAGCAAAGCCACAATCCTTAAACTAATTCCCATGATTGCAGTTAACCAAATGCTAACAAAGTAAAACTTATATAAAACCCGTTCTTCTCCAAGTTCAGATTCTGACTGCAATATATGACACAAAGAAAATAACTCATGCTGCCAGAAGCTAAAATAGTGAACAGGTGAAGTCTTCAAAGGAAAAAAATAATCACATCTTAAATTTTTTTTAAGCAAAATTAGAATTTTAACATCTAACACTTTTTTTTCTGCCACAAGGGGAAGGCTGCATGAACTTCTGCCCTATATGCTTCAATACTACTACAGTCAGTTTTTAAAATGACAAAAGTGATGAGTAAACACGTGGTGTTTGCTATGTTTCCAATCAGCTGCTTGCAATGACTCCCCCTCTATTTTCATGAAGTGCAATTACTGTTGGCTTCCCATGTTTGAATTTATTTTTCCCAGCAAGTCACTCAAAATCTGTGTCTCCTGAAGGCTCACATCCTTTTTTAATCTTCTGGTGTCTATCAGCCTGAAAAACTCTCTTCCAAGCCAGCAGCAGAATACGTATGTACAACCCAATTCCTGAACCATGATAAAAGCAGGACACCTTTCCCTGTGTGTTTTGTAGTGCTAGTGAAAAAAAATTCAGAAGGCAATGACTGAGCCTATGTTGCATTATCAATGCTACATGTATGAAACCAAGGAAAACAGAAGTTACATGACATACATTCAGATGGATTTTAAGTTCTGTTTTCTTGAAGATTGACTCAGAAACCATCCTATAAAGATGAAATATTAAAGAGCTGAGGAGGCTAATCAAAACAGTCCAGCTGTCTTTATAAATGTTAAGTATAAGAAGGATCCAAAAGCTACTTTGCATTTGAGTTCATTCTGTTCTTGCAAAAAGGTACATCAGTAAGACCCTTGAGGATACTTCTAATAATGCCAATCATTCTTTGAGTCACAGTATCTAGGTCAATTCTCTCTTATATATGGACAGTAAGTACACTCTAAAAACAAACAGCACAAATTTCAGCGATTTAAGGCTCGTAACACCAATATGCACATGCAACATGTACAATAGCACTATGCACGTACATTTATAGCTTACATTGAAAAACATTTGCACCAGCAGGTTCAGAGTCTTCCCAGCAATACATCAGACAAGAACAGATCTTAGTACAGATGCTCAAGAGCCTTTTGTTTGGGAGCAACTGGGAGCACCTTTTGCAATTTCAAAAAACACACAAAGTTCCTGCGGATATGTTTCTCTTTTAGCCATCCACCTCTTCAGCTTCAAAAAAAGAAAACCAACCTTTTTCAAAGAAATCATACCAGTTGGTACTCATCTTTACTTACGGTGTGGTGGCTGGAAAAAGTCTCACAAACCTAAAAGCTGTTAGTGTTATCAGATACAGGAACGTAAACTATCACCTCATACCTAGCCCTTCTAGAGATGTTTTAGCCAAAAAAAGAGCAAAAATAAGGCAAGATTTGAGAAGTTCATTAGCTTGTTACAGACTAATCTTTAGCAAGGTTTCATAGGCTCACTGTGCCAGACTGGTCTGCAGACAGTGAAATAAGCTCCTGCAGTCAGCTGTGCACACCAGTAGACTAGCACAGACTGCAGTCTGCATCGGGCCAAAAATGGTCTGAATACATCTCACAGCAAATTTCTTCATTCTCCTTGACCACAGGACCCATAGCACACTGAGATGCAAGAACACCACAACTTTCAGCAACTTAAACAGTCATACCCAAATTTCCACTACTTCCCACAACACAAAAGGACATAGCAAGTAGTTCCTAACAGACGAGGAGGGAAAGCAGCTGTGTGGAATCATCCCCAGAACAGCTACTGCTGCTCAAGACTGGGCAGGGAAGGGAACAGACTGCCCTACTCATGTGTAATTCTTCTGATCTAGTCCCATGAAAGTCCAGCTGAGAAAGCACTTGGAGGCATTATCACTTAAGACAGCACAGCAAGTGTTTGAGCAAGCTTGTCTCCATGCATGGAGACAAAACAAGAAGTTTTGTGAGAAAACTGAGAGGCAGAACAAACAAATGTGTTATACTTCTTTCAGCACAGCCTGGAGCATTGTTCCTCCTCTTTCCTGCTCCTGGTGATAAAGGACCACATGCATTAGACACACCTGCAACACACATGTGCATGATGTTACACACACCAATGTGTTTATGAAACCAGGACTTAAAACATCTAAACATATTTGAATCTACCCACTTGGTACACTGGAAAAGAGTTACAAACTCTTCATTTCAGCTCCAGTTTCCTCTGTCCTACCTACGCAGAGAACACAACAGCATTTATTGTAGGGTACAAATTATCTGCCATCTCAAAGAGAAAACAGGAATTCACAAACCTTCTGAAGTTTATAACTAACTAGGGAAGGGAGATAACTCCAGGCAGACAACACAAGGCTTTGTAGCACCAGCTTTACCTGGAAAAGATGCAGCCCACCACATGAGGATGAGGATTACTGCTAATTGTGGAGAAAATTATGTTCACACCACTATGTTGTAATACATTCTACAGATCAGCACAAAGCTAAAAAACGCTTTCCAAATACTCTTAGAAAGGCTAGGGAACAACTGAAAAATTATACAGTACTTCCACCAAACACAAGTCATGATTCCTTCAATTGGGAGAAATTCCTTTCTGTATTAATAGGAAAAAAAGATAACCTCAAAAAATTATTTTATTATTTCTATGAGCCTTTAAAAGCCAGTTACATTTTCAAGTGATTTATGAAATCACTGCTTGAGGTAAACAAAATTTTTCTTTATCAGCTATTAAATCTGAAATGTCTACAAATATGAAGCACATATGCACTCTGTGAACCTAATCAGAGTACCAAGAACCTCCACTCCTTATGAAAGTAGAAGGAAAGCTCATTTCTTTTCTTCAGTACATTTCTAAATGCATGAGTGATTTTCCACACATGAATGATTCCTACTTGGTTATCAAATTAGATTCAAGGGAAAAGTCAGTCTTCTCTGTAACCAGCAGAGGGAAAGAAAAAACAAACAATAACAAAACAAAACAAAAACAACCTTCATTATTTTCTTGCTACTTATTACATGTTTGTGATGTATGGCAATTACGAGGTTAGTGAGACAGAACAACCTTTTGTAGACAATCTTCAGGTCTCTCCACTCCAGGAAGCTGCACATTTTCGGTTTGCGAGCTAACACTGTTTGAACAAGTTCCCTTGTGATTTTCTTCTTTTCTTTGTCAGATAATGGGACATACCACTTCTGGAGTCTCAGTTTTCCCTGGCGACTAAAAAGCAACATAAACTGCATCTGTTGAATTAGAAGGAAATAAAAACAAAAGTATTAATCTCAGTCCCCGAGTTCTAAAAGGATCTCTGTGAGAAAAACCAAACAGGAAGCAGGACAGACATCCAGAACCCAAACTACATCATTTATTTCTATAGCACTGGCAGATGTTACACAAGATTTGGAAGCACCAGTAACACAAAGGGTTCCGCTGAGCAAGGTCAGTCAAGCCAAAGACAGCAGAAAGCGCACACAAGTTTCACACACGGATGTCAGAGTCGTGGGGTAGCGAGTGAATACACCCAAATCTCAGAAAAGCTAAGTCCAGCACCGGTTTAGTTGCATTTGCGAACAGAAAAGGACAGAAAAACAGCACAGTAGTCTCTTCGAATACCCAAACTCATTTTCAATTCACCGGATTAGAGCCTTACAGCAGGAGCAATTTGCACTTAAGATCTTTTTGAAAAGCCTCAGAATACTTTAAAAGGCATTAACCCTCCCAACGGAGAGTCCTACGGCACAGCAAAGCCCAATCTTTTCTTACGTTACACAAAAGGAGGAGAGATTAAGTGCGTTCCCTGCGGTCCTATGTTCCAGCTCTCGCTTCCTCTAACGGAGTGATGTTGCAATTATATTTTAAGAGGAACTTGCGGGCTGTGTTTTCCAGCAGCTCGAACACTAAAGGGAATGGCTTTTCTGTTTTATTCTTTACCTTTTCGCTCAAAGTTCTATTGGGCTGGGGAAGTTTCCCAGGCGGTGCGAGAGGCACGAAATAGGATGAGAAAGCACAGCCTAGTCCCGGGTGACAAGTC